TAACTACGAAGTACATATATTACAAAATGAAGATATTAGCAATTAGAATTCAACAAATAAACTTCGATTGGAAATACATAATCGTGCCTAAAAGATGATGCGTTATAATTCGAACATCTCGCAACAGAAATAAAATGATTATCTGTAATGTATAATTACTTGTACATGGATTAAAATTATTTTTGAATTTCATCATAATGAATTTCAGAAGTTAATATTCTAATAAATACATCTCATTGCTACTTTATATTTCTATAGAAATGTCATCTGTCAAATACTTCAATGGAATCAGTATAAAACTGTATTATGACGATTTCCATTAGCGTCAAATCTGTGACACACACCATATGGCATATATATATATGCATAGAACAAAAATAAATAGTATTCTAAGTTTGATACCGTATACAGATAATTAAACGTTTCTTTCTTTTAACATAAATTTTAGTCAATCTACCGTATGTATATAGGAATAGTATTTTGTCATTAAAAATATTTTTTCCTAACAAGTTAAATTGAAAGACTTAATCATTAGTACCGGATGTAGTACTACCACTCCTACTTGCATCGCTTATAAACTGTTGCTTTACCAATGGATCTGCCACATACTCGTTATCTATTGGAAGTAGAAAATACGATTTAAATTACAGCAATTATAAAATATAATTAAATTAAATTGTTTATTACCTGACTCGGTATCGCTAACTTGATTCGGCGAGAGCCTGCAACCTCTAGCTAAGTAAGACTTTAATTTACCAATGCTTGCTAAAATAAGTCCTAAGAACGGAGGTGAGGGCTTCAAAAGTCTAGACAAGTATTCTGGATGAAATTGTGTGGCAACATAATAAATATGCCCTTCTAATTCCGCTACTTCCATACGTAGATTATCGTCATCATGACCTGATAAAAAGATTTTATTATATTAAAGAACGAATATTCAAATAATTTCAGGAAGATTTGATTATTCACCTACGAAATGCATTCCAGCCTCTTCTAAGTCCGCGATATACTTTGGATTAATTTCGTATCTATGCCTATGTCTTTCTTCAATGGATTCCTTATTCCCATATAATTGTTCTAGACAGAAAATAATTGCCAAACACATACAAACAAGACTTATATTTTATAAGTATCGTTGCTTTACTAACTTATAATGGAATTATGTTCCGTAAAGCGAGTACGTCTTTTTCCAACTCTCATGGTTCCTCCCATCTGACCAGGATTGTGTTCCGGCATATCGATAACAACGGGGTGATCTGTATTCGGTTCAATTTCTGTGCTATTCGCAGTTTCCAAGTTCAAGACATTGCGCGCAAATTCAATGGCAGCCACTTGTAATCCCAGGCAAATACCAAGAAATGGTTTATTATGTATTCTACACCATTTACATGCCTCCATTTTCCCTAGCATTCCCCTTTTACCAAAACCTCCTGGCACAATTACACCGCTAAAGATAATGCACATAATTTCAGTAAACGTGAAACAGTACTTGTTTCGGAGTCTGAGGACTTACTCGCTTTTGCAAAGCTTCTGCCAAGCTTCATGATATAATACAGGGTCAGATGTCTTCTTGGTTGCTTCTAAATTATCAGCTTCTATGTACTGAAAGACAGTAACAACGATATATGTGGTAACATAGAATTACTATTATTATGGGATAACAAACAGTACTGTTAGTACTTTACCGTTAAATTAAGTTTATGACCAACTTGAATGCACGCATGTTGCAATGCTTTTGTAACAGAGGTATAGGAATCTTCTAGCTTGGTATATTTTCCGACCAAAGCAATATTTACGTCCTTTCGTAAGTGATCTATTCGATCTGCCAAGTCTCTCCATTTCCGCATGAAACATCGTGGACGCGGCATAGTTATATGTAATTGTAGTCTGTCGTTCAAAAATTCAATAACACCTTGCGATTCCATTAACAATGGAACACGGTATATAGATGATAAATCATGTATAGTTATGACCTAGAAAAAACGGTCATTGCATTAGGATTCTTGATTGAATTTCAAAGTAAAAGAAAAAAGGCAGATTTTGTTACTTGGTCTGGAGCAACATGACAGAAATTTGAAATTTTTTCTTTGACTACATCCCCTATAGGTTTCTCGGATCTACAAACTATAAGATCAGGAGATAATCCCAATCCACGTAATTCTCTTACGCTGGACTGCGTCGGCTTTGTTTTTGGTTCTCCTGTAGATCGCGGCTATAAACAAAATACTTTTGTAACTAGATATTTCTATGAAAAATTATCCATGCAGAAAGAAACAAATATTTTTGTGTCTTATTGCACGTGATTCTATAGTCCAAGAATAAACTGGCTTAGCAGTTGGCTCAAGTTCAAAGTCAAGATCTATGACACTGAAGAAGAATTATTTAAAGAAATATAGGTTCATACTTGTGGCACTAAAGATACATGAGCACAACAAAAATTCTCTTTTTTGACCCTAAACTGAAACTGCCTAAAAGCTTCAACGAAGGGCATCCCTTCGATATCTCCTATTGTACCTCCCAGCTCGATAATACAAACCTACAACAAGCAAGATAATCATTTGCATAGAAAGATATTCATATATATATGGTATTGAGCTTTATAATTAGTTATACATAGACATAATATTACATCAGGTTGAGCTCCATCTTCTGTTACCGATTGGTTCGCCACTCTTTCGACCCATTCTTGTATAGCATTTGTTATGTGAGGTACCACTAATTATAATATAAAATTATATAAGTACGACTATAAGCGTACACTCTATAACAACAAATTACAACGAATTTTGTTGTGTATACCTTGTACAGTTTTCCCCAAATAATCGCCCTGCCTCTCCTTCGAAATCACAGACTGATAAATTTTTCCGGTAGTTATATTATTGTCCCTATGCAACGTAATGTCCAAGAAACGTTCATAATTCCCCAAGTCTAGATCTACTTCACCTCCATCATCCAGGACATATACCTCGCCTGAAAAGAATATTTGTATAAATATATTCAAAGGAATATAAGATACAAAAAAATGTTTAATCAATTAGTTTATTAATAAATGAACATATAAAATAATATTAATTATTTGTTGATAACAATCGTTCGTGATAAATATCGTATGACATAAGAGTTAAATAATTGCAATATTATCGTTATTCATATCCGAGTAATGTGGGGGTTGACGGGGGAGAAGGACACGTGATCGCAAAACTGCGCGGGAGGCATCAACTTGTAAAATGGCTTCTGACACCGCATGGCTATAGGAAACAGCTGAACTTATACTAAAGGTCTGTGACACGCTCGATTTCGTCAAGATAAAAGAAGCAAAGAATAAAATTCAATGGCATACCGTGTTCGTACGGTGAAAATGTACCAGCATCTATATTTATGTAAGGATCAATCTTGATAGACGTCACATGAATACCGCAATGTTTGAGTATCGTTCCGAACGAGCTGGCAATAACACCTTTGCCGACACCGCTAATTACGCCTCCCGTTACTAAGATGTATTTCATATTTTAATCCGTAACTTGTAAAACGATTATGCACTGTCCCTTTACACAGATATGTTATTCAACAAAGATTCGGAATTTTCTTGAACGCCGTTCGAGTTCTATGAGAATGTGCTTAAATACAACCTCACCTCACGTTCACTCTAAAAGTGACCGAGACTTAGCGCCACCCTGCATGCAAGTTTCTCGTGCAAACTAAAATATCTGCATAATATGTGTGTATATACATGCGTGCATCGTGCTGACAACACATCATCTGTCAGATCAATTATTAAATGTACGTGCAGTTTTGAAAAAATTAAGAAAACATCATGTAATTATATGAGTTTCATGGATCGAATTTATAAGCTGACAATTGGAGAATTTATTCCTATAAATTTTCGCGGCGCGCAATTCAAATTTCAAGTGTGACTTGTTTAATTGACAAAATTAAAGCTGACAGGAATTACACTTTGATTTCTTTGATCAATACACCATCATTTATGACAATATTTTGACGTCTACAGGTTTAATAAAGAATATTACCCATGTCAAGATGGCTCACGGTAGTAATCAATATTAATGAAACATAGCTTTAAAAAAAGCTCTTTAATTGCCCATCATTGCTCATCAATTGCATAGTTTTAACTGCTCGAAGTTAAAAACGATTCGAAACGACGATCATTTCTACAGTTACTAAAATTTTCGAAAACCTATGAATCTACACAATTTTGTTAATTCTTTGGGGCACGATATTTCAGAAAATAAAATAGACCCGTGTTGCACCGAAATTTTATTGCATTTTAAATTAAACAAAATCGGTATATTTTTATTAACAAAGGAATCATATAATATAAGAACATAAAAAAATAATAATAATTCAATTCAATTCGTTGTTATAGAGTTGGACTAAAATAGTCCCACGGTGCCCCAAAAGAATTTTAGAGAATTAGAGTTAAGAATTATTGAAGATTGAAACAATTTACCGGCAAAAAGGATACAAAAATTATATGAGACAATTTGAAATTTTGATCCGTAATATGCAACGAAATTATGAATATAAGGAAGTGGCTGGTGTCGTTTGTGGGTCTGAGTTACGTAAGTTAAATTGTGCTTTATTCGGGCATCGACATTCTCGCTTCTGGGGGGAAAAAAGACGAACTTTCCTGCTTTCGTGAATTCGAGGCCCTGAAAAGAGTCGTTATCGTTAAATAGAGGAGTCGAATTTTGCAGTCCGTAATTCTGGAGTTTGAACCTCGCGCCATACTTTCACGCCCAAAGTCTCCCATTCTGCACAGATCATTTCTGAGCATTTCGTGGCCCATGATTTATGGTTATGGACCGCCCGGCATGGCGGGCCTGAAGCCGGGGAGGCCTAAGAAGGACGAGTCATGACTCGGACAAAGAGTTTCCGCAGGCATAGTTAATCCTCTTCCTGCTGGGCTAGACGCTTTCTTTTCCGGAGCCGTTATTTCCTGACATACAAATTGAAAAATTGCATATACCTGCGAAAACTCTCTTTGTCCGAGCCCTGGCCGAGATAAGCATTTTCGGCCTCGGGCCCGCCAGGCGTACAATTTGCCAGCCCTAAATCTCGGTCTACGAAGGTATCGGGGATCCTTTTGTTGCTGTTTCCGGATACCCACCTTTTTCCGCCGGAACCAATATTCCACAGCATGCGAATTGAAAAACTGCATATTAGACGTACGTTTATTCCGTGAAGAAAATTACACATATCGATCACCGTGTGCCAATTGAATCGGTCTTCGATGTCCTCGCATAAATACAGTGGTCCACAAAAGTGAGTTAAAACGCAATAACTTTTTCAAAACTCGACTATATGTTTTGAATTTTTGTTTTTAGATAATAGAATTATTTAGTCAAACAAACTATTCCGTCTATCTATTCGAACGAACTATTTTGTTTATTTATTCAGGCATTATATACAATTATTCGAATTATAAAGTGAGCGAAATAATTTTCTTCATGGAGAATAAACATGCGTCTAACGTACAGTTTCTCGATTTGTATCTATGAAGTAACGGTCCCGGGGAGAACGTATCTAGCCAACAATAATAAGAGTATACCTGCGGAAAATCTTTTTTTCCGAGCTCTGGCTCGTCCTTGCTTAGACCACCTTTTCGGCTTCGAGCCCGCATGGTCGAGCGGCTTGCAACCACAAATCTCGGACCACGAAGAGCACAGTAACGATCCTCGCAGATATCGGGAATCCTAGGTACCTACTTTCTTCCCCGGAACCATTATTTTATTTTTTATTTATTATTATAATAATATAATAAAATTAATAATATATATTATTTATTTAAATAATATAAATAATATATATATAATATTTATATATATATTTTGTATATCTACATATCTACTAAATTAAGTACGTAACCTTTCTAAGAGAATATGAACGCAAATTTCAACTTTGTTTTTCAGATGTTTAAAAAGTAAAGATCGTATAAAATTGCGAAGTTATTTGTTGCTCGTCACAGTTGACAAGCGCCGGGATAACCGAGTTAACAAAATTGTGTAGATTCATAAACTAGAAACCATTAGCTGATATGTAGCTTACGGTTTTTCGAACATTTTTATAACTGTAGAAATGACGTTCGCAAATACGTTGGCCTGTGTTGTCGAAAATCTTACGGGGCGATTTGTTTCGCTCGTAGTTGTGTTTACTCGCCACTTTCTCTCTTTGTCTAAAACCGGGAGGGCAGTGTGTACTGTTTAGCTATGAAGCGTCAACCAATCAGAGAAAGGGTAGTCTCTGTGCCTGCGAGCTACCCCCATATATATAGGAACGCTTTGTCGCCACATCACTCAGTCCAGTTCAGTAAGCCAAGGCGGTTGAGTAAAACGGTTTCATATCTATTCCAAAACTCGAACCTACAGCCAATCAAGAGCCCTCTTTCAGCCAGGTACGAAACGTACGTTGTTTGTTTATCAAGCGTTTTGTAATTGTATTTTTGAACTTTACAATGTCAGTTTTTGAGCACATGTTATAAATTGAAAATAGATTTATAAAATAGAATACGTTGACTTTAGGGTTACTATCATTTTCTTATATTTAATCGCAAGTATTTAACTGAATTCTTTTGTTTGGCTAATAGATTTCTTTAATGTTAGTTTATATTAGAAGTTTCTTAGAAGGTTTTTGCTTTAGATAAGAAAATTTATAATGTTTCAGTATTCCTATTTGAATAATAAATAAACTCAGAATGAATACTAATCGCCGAAGTTTTGGAAACTCTTCTCACTACTCTAAGAGCTACAATCAAGGTTCAAGATATAGAAATAGAGAAGACCAACAAAGAACGAATTACCCTTGGAGAGAACAAAATCAAGATTCTAACCATAGTAATTTAGGTAACAATTCTGAAAATCTCACCATTCAGATCGAGGCATTAAAAGTAGGAAAATTAATTGGGAAGAGTGGAACTAAGATTAGAGAACTACAAGATAAAACAAATACTAAAATTCGTGTAAGTATTAACATATTCAAGAATTATGATTCGTTTAAGTTTCTATACTGTATCATGATGGGATGATATATGTAATTACAATTAATTCCTAACAAGATAAGTACAGGGAAAGATAAAAAGAAAAATAAAAACTATAATGAATTTATTTATACTGCATATATTACAAGATACAAACAATTTGCAAGTATTTAAAATTTATGACTATATATTACACAATAGGTTGACAGCTCGAATGGAGATTTTAATGCTGATGTAATTATAACTGGAACAAAAGCAGCACAAAATGAAGCTAAAAAATTAATAGAAGAGTTACTAGATGATTCTCCGTACCCCATACCAAAGACAGTAGAACAGAATAAAGTGCAATATAACGAACCTAAGATAGATTTTAATAATTTTGACTGGACCCAAGCTAGTAAACAATGTGATAATTATCTAAAAGAAAAGTGGTCAAAATTCCCACCTATTGTCAAAAACTTTTATAAAGAGCATCCTCATGTTGCTAGCATGACAAAAGAATATGTAGCACATATAAGGAAAATAAATAATAATATAGAAGCCAGTTACATGTTTAGTGAAAAAGAAAAACATTCTGAAGAACCTGTTCCAAATCCAATTGAAACATTCGAACAGGCCTTTGAAGTAAGTGGACACATTTATGAATGTTTAATAAAGAAGAATATATTACCACGTTAAAATTTTATGCATTAGCCTTATCCAGATATACTCGAGGAAATAAGGAAACAAGGATTTACCAAACCTAGTCCTATCCAATGTCAAGCTTGGCCTATCCTCCTTAGTGGTAAAGATCTCATTGGTATTGCTCAAACAGGCACAGGTAAATTATAGAACTTTCTACATCACAGTAGAACCTTGATAATTGCAAAAAAATGAGGCTATTTCTGTGATCGAATACTAAGATTTATACAATCGATAATATCATTAAGGACTTCATGAGATCTACTGCTTCTTATTATAGTTCCAGTAAGACTAAAATTTATTTTTTTGTTTTCTATAGTTTTTCAAGTTTTTTATTTATAATTAAGCATGTATTGATGGTATGAACAAGAAGTTTACTTGCAAGTATCAAGGTTGCAACTTTAGCCATCCTTTTGTATCTCAATTTATCAAATACGATAACAAAACTTTCTCATTGACAATGTATATAGGAAAAACGTTAGCATTTTTACTGCCAGCTTTAATACATATAGAGGGACAAGAAACGCCGCGATCGGAACGGAATGGCCCTAATGTTCTTGTTATGGCTCCAACAAGAGAATTAGCATTACAAATAGAGAAAGAAGTGAATAAATATACTTATCATGGTATAAAAGCGTAAGTAACAAAAGGATTAGCTGCTTTAATTTATATAAAACAATATATTTTTCATATTTCATATATTAAAAATTATATATATTTGTAGGGTATGTGTGTATGGGGGTGGCAGTCGTAAGGAACAAATCACCCTGGTACTAAAAGGGTTAGAAATAGTCATTGCAACGCCTGGAAGACTGAATGATCTCGTTGAAGCGAATGTTTTGAATGTTTCATCTGTCACATATCTTGTGTTGGATGAAGCTGATCGTATGCTTGACATGGGGTTTGAACCTCAAATTAGGAAAACATTGTTAGATATAAGACCAGATCGACAAACAGTTATGACAAGGTATGTAAAGTATGTTATTTGAGAAATGAAATTATTCTGTTTATTGATCAATATTACTCATTCATATTTCAGTGCCACGTGGCCTCAAGGTGTTCGACGTTTAGCACAATCCTATATGAAAAATCCAATTCAAATTTTTGTCGGATCTCTTGATTTAGCTACTGTACACACTGTGGTACAAAAAATTCACATCATTGATGAAGATGAGAAACCAAATATGGTTAATACTATACATACAATTATAATGTGTTGTATGATTTCTCTAGTTAGTATATTAATATTCTCCTGTTTTAATAGATGAATCAGTTTTTCCACGAAATGGGTCCCAAGGATAAAGTTATAGTATTCTTTGGAAAAAAATGCAGAGTTGACGACGTGGCCAGTGACTTAGCTCTGCAAGGTGTGAACTGTCAGAGTATACACGGCGGAAGAGAACAAGCTGATAGGGAACAAGCATTGGAAGATTTGAAAACCGGAGAAGTTCAAATACTTCTTGCAACAGACGTTGCCAGTCGAGGAATTGATATAGAAGATGTGACGTACGTTTAATTTTTTATACTTGTTACATAATTGTAATGCAATTGTTACATGAAGGTTAAATTGTCCTTAGGCATGTGTTAAATTATGACTTTCCTCGAGACATAGAAGAATATGTTCATCGAGTTGGACGTACTGGACGCGCTGGACGCACAGGCGAAAGTATAACGTTTATGACAAGGCGGGATTGGGCTCTTGCCAGAGAACTAATTAATCTCTTAGAAGAAGCTAATCAAGTAAGTTCATCATGAATAGATATACTAAACTTTTGCTTTAGACATTTGTTACATTTTGTGTAATGTTTCATTTTACAGGAAGTTATTGATGAGTTGTATATGATGGCTAATAGATATGATGCATGGAAGGAAAGACGGGCAAACGAAAAACAGTTTGAACGATCAGACAGCAGAGGTGATCACTCATATAAAAGAAGTAACAGAAGATGGTAGTTACTGTAAATTTTACTTTTATTGATTACAATGTATAAGTTACGCTAAATTTTATTTTTATTAATTACAATGTATAACCTTTAAAACCGAATGTTTCTGGAATTATAAAAAAAATATTTAGTTTTATATTTTGTTACATATATTATCTTTTTTCTTTTCACACAAACAACTTCATTCATTCGTTTATTTTTTTTGCGTTCATAGGTAACATTTATGTTATTTTAAAATAATACAAAAATATATTCTTTCCAATTATAACTTATACAATTTTTACCTACATTTGTAACATAAACTTAAAATACATACTACAGTAAATTCACTCAAATTGACCCTCAGCTTGAAAACAAAAATAGTCAATTTCGAAAGGCTCGTTTCTATAGTTGATAATCTGTAATTGTCCACTTTTGTTTACAAGCCATGATACAATTTGAAACAATTTACTGTATATGAACAAAATGAAAGCAATAGTATTATTAAAAATAGTCAATCATGAAAGTATATCAAATAATTGAGATTCTTCCATTTACTAGAAAGTAATCAGTTTAAATAACTTTAGGAATCTGATTTTGTTTGATATACTTTGAAATGATTATGTAAATACAAGACTGTATTATAATGCCAGTATTAATGAATATTCATACACGTTTTCATTCAGCAATACATTCATGCAAATAACAATGTTGGTACATGACCAGACTTTATGTAAAACAGAATTTTGCGCAAAAGATAAAAACATTTACTGAAAATATAAAATGATTGTACTATGAATAAATAATTTTGTAAAAACTGTAATGAATTTATTTATACTGCAAATATTACAAGATACAACGAATTAGCTAGTATTTAAAGTTCGAGTATATATTGCAGAATAGGTTGACAGTTCGAATGGAGATTTTAATGCTGATGTAATTATAACTGGAACAAAAGCAGCACAAAATGAAGCTAAAAAATTAATAGAAGAGTTACTAGATGATTCTCCGCACCCTATACCAAAGACAGTAGAACAGAATAAGATGCAATATAACGAACCTAAGATAGATTTTAATAATTTTGACTGGACCCAAGCTAGTAAACAATGTGATAATTATCTAAAAGAAAAGTGGTCAAAATTCCCACCTATTGTCAAAAACTTTTATAAAGAGCATCCTCATGTTGCTAGTATGACAAAAGAATATGTAGCACATATAAGGAAAATAAATAATAATATAGAAGCCAGTTACATGTTTAGTGAAAAAGAAAAACATTCTGAAGAACCTGTTCCAAATCCAATTGAAACATTCGAACAGGCCTTTGAAGTAAGTGGACACATTTATGAATGTTTAATAAAGAAGAATATATTACCACATTAAAATTTTATGCATTAGCCTTATCCAGATATACTCGAGAAAATAAGGAAACAAGGATTTACAAAACCTAGTCCTATCCAATGTCAAGCTTGGCCTATCCTTCTTAGTGGTAAAGATCTCATTGGTATTGCTCAAACAAGCACAGGTAAGTTATAGAACTTTCTACATTACAGTAGAACCTTGATAATTGCACAAAAATGAGGCTATTTCTGTGATCGAATACTAAGATCTAAGCAATCGATAATATCATTAAGGACTTCATGAGATCTACTGCTTCTTATTATAGTTCCAGTAAGACTGAAATTTATATTTTTGTTTTATTTATAATTAAGCATGTATTGATGGTATGAGCAAGAAGTTTACTTGCAAGTATCAAGGTTGCAACTTTAGCCATACTATTGTATCTCAATTTATCAAATACGATAACAAAACTTTCTCATTGGCAATGTATATAGGAAAAACGTTAGCATTTTTACTGCCAGCTTTAATACATATAGAGGGACAAGAAACGCCGCGATCGGAACGGAATGGCCCTAATGTTCTTGTTATGGCTCCAACAAGAGAATTAGCATTACAAATAGAGAAAGAAGTGAATAAATATACTTATCATGGTATAAAAGCGTAAGTAACAGAAGGATTAGCTGCTTTGATTTATATAAAACAATATATTTTCCATATTTCATATATTAAAAATTATATATATTTGTAGGGTATGTGTGTATGGGGGTGGCAGTCGTAAGGAACAAATCACCCTGGTACTAAAAGGGTTAGAAATAGTCATTGCAACGCCTGGAAGACTGAATGATCTCGTTGAAGCGAATGTTTTGAATGTTTCATCTGTCACATATCTTGTGTTGGATGAAGCTGATCGTATGCTTGACATGGGGTTTGAAGCTCAAATTAGAAAAACTTTGTTAGATATAAGACTAGATCAACAAACAGTTATGACAAGGTATGTAAGGTATATTATTTAATAAATGAATATATATAATATATTACTTATTCATATTTCAGTGCCACGTGGCCTCACTCAAGAAGTGAATAAATACAGAAACAAAAGTAAACG